TTCTTACAATCTTATAAAAGCTTTTTTTGAATTAATATTAATTAAATTTCGAATAAATTATTATTAATTAAGTTTTTTTATATTTATATTTGAAATTATATTAATTTTAACTAAAGGTATAAAAAAATTAATTTATAAAAATACATTTTTAAATATAAAGATTTATATATTTAAAAAAAAGAATAAAATATTAAATAAATATTAATATATAAAAAAAACTCAATTATATTAAAAAAAATTATTTATTAAATAAAAAACTATAAATATATTATTTTAATAAAAGATTGATATTCAAATTCAATATAATAAGTATCAAAAAAAAAAGGAATTCTAATAAAAAAATATTTTCCAATTAATATTATAATAAATATGAAAAAACAGATTATAATATAAGAATCTATTAAAATAATATAATAGATTTTAGATTATTAAAATCTCAATAGTTTTAATTAATTAATTTAATTATTATTAAATAATATGAGTTTAAAGTGATAAATTGAGGTGAAAGTGATCCACTCGATGATAAACCATGTTATACAAAGTAGGATAATCACATAATTTGAGGCTTCATAATCTGAAAGGAAATTTTTATATATACAAATAGATATTTTATTTATCGTATATCCATTTTATATTTTAAGAGTAAAACTTCAAGATATTTATTAGATGTAGTGGTTTTATTTTTATTTTTATATCATATAAGATTTGTACAAGTTTTAAGAGTTGTAGGCTTGAATAAATCGACAGATTTATTAGATTCGATAGAATCGATGATTTTACAGATTTCACAGATTTTATAGATTTTACAGATTCTACAGATTTTATATTCCACAGATTTCATGGAATTCATGGGTTTATTAGTTTTCTGAATATCTGAATATCAGTTTTTCTTTCCAACAACCAAGTATTATACATATTCTGGATGTATAGTTCTCCATATCTTGTCCAGGTCTTTGTTCTTTTCAAATGGATATATAAATTATCATCTTTTAAAACTAAAATATTTGAATAGTTTTCAAATATATTAAAACAAACTGAATAATGATACAAAACTCACCTCCAAACATAATAGGGATGCTATAATTCAATATAACAGAGTATCACAAAGTTGTGAACAGGATTATAAAAGATAATATCAAGTGTATCAGAAAGATTGCTTGCGGAATTCTAATTAAAAGCTTCTTCTTTCTTAATTCCAAAAATTGTAAATTAAATTCAATTTTAGAAAATCGAAGTAATAATCAATTTCCATCATTCCATCAGTCTTGAACTACGTTCAAACACCTGGTAATATAACAACATATAAAATTGATAAGATACTTAGGAAGATAGAATTTTTTCATAATTGAAGATTCATATCCTCGATATTATTATTACTTGTGCGGATTATATACAATACTTCATGCATAGAGTACTTTACATTATGTTCGTAGAAAAGGTGTTTTTACATCAAAACTTACCTTTTCTCTAACATAATTAAAGAGCTATCTTTCTTTTTGATAATATCAAAAATTTTAAGGTACTCAATCTCTATTGCAATATGATGAAAAAATTAATAGATTTTAACGTATTTTTTCTTACTGGAAAGGATTTTGAATTCAACCCTTTTTGAAAACTTGCAAAACATGCTTAATTCTAATATAGAAATTGATTCCAAGAAATCATTTTACCTCAATTCTCTATGTGATATTAGTCAAATGATACAATTTTATAATAGTACTATTTATCAAGGAAAAGAATTTTTCAAATATCATAATCATCGAATTACTTTTTTCATGTTTGTTACTGTAGTGATTTTGACATTCTCCGAATTAATATCTTTAAATTCTTCTTCCTCGATAACATACACTGATGTAATAGTTAAACTACAATTACAAATACTAAATATAATTCAATATATAATACTTCATGATATATCAAGTCAATCAGCCTTCACACCTTCGATTTCCGCTATGCTCAAACTATAGGTTTTTCTTATTTTTCTTATTCTTCTTATCCGTTTTTCTTTTATATTCTTATAATACTTCATTGGTTTGTTAATTTATGAATAGAAGAATAGAACATGAGAATAGTATATTAGAGTAATTCATTGTTATAATATCACGGAGAAAGAGCTATGTAGATTGGTCACTTTGATTAGGAGATAGATAGGTATATATAGTGATAATAAATTAGATTGACCTCAGATATAATTATGACGATCATACGTACTTTATACACTCTGATCAAACAATAGAATTGCCTCATTGAATATTAGAATTCACAGATATCAATTATAGAAAAATATTTTGTGATTATAAAAATAGGCACTTCAGAGTGTTATGCTCAATCACATGTTGTTGCGCAAAATGGTGAATTCCGTGACATATAAATATTCTTACTTGAGTTTTTGCTTGTAAGAAAAAGTCGAAGATTGTCTAAACTAGATATTTCTTAGACGTTCGTACTCTCACTTATAAATTTTTCTTTTAAGATATTATAAATACTAGTCTAGGAACCAATCGGCTAATGACTAGAGCTCACTATTAATTCTTTCTAATATAATTAAACCACAAAATTATTTTTATAAGATCCATACTAAAGATAATTATAGATTCCAAAAGCTTTTATACTGAACTTTACGTAGAATTTTAAATGTCAAAGTAATTAGAAGGTCTTTTACTCTAAAGCTTAATTTGTTAAAAACATCATTAAAAACGACATATAATTCTAAAAAAACATAAAAGTTCCCAAATTAATAAAACTCTTTCAAAATCTAAGAAAGTAATTTAATTTATTTATCTTTTTTAGAAATAACCACTTCGCATTAAAAACTTCTGAAAGAGCTATAAAATCAACTCAATTTTAATATAAAAATTGATTATCAAAGATCATTGTATTTCAATATCGTATAGAGCATTAATAAAACATTCTAAAACTAGAAGATGATTGTATAACTGAATACAAATGATTCAAAGTTTCTGAAAATAAAATTCATCAAAAGTATTTCATCGATAAACATTAATGTTTACTTAAAATGAAAATCTTCATATCTCTATTCTAAAAATATATAGAAACAATTTCATCTAGATCTCTTCTAATATTATAATTTCATTTTCATCTCCCAGCTTTACTAATAATTTATATTAAAAAGTAATGGTTCCTTTTTTTTACTTATATAATACTTGATAGTTGTTTATTTATTTTTTTGACTTTATTTGAAGAAACAATCTCGTACGAATTTTCTCAAGCTTATTAAAATTATCACTTTTAAATTTTGATTATTAACCGATTTTAAAATAGATACTGAATTAAAAGGGCTCAGAGAATAACGATTGAAATTGTAAATTCTCTTAATATCATATAAAATCTCTTACTCATTGAATCCTAAATAATTACTTACAATTTATTAAAAAGAGCTTCTTAAATCTATAGAAACCGAAATAATATACTTATATAGATAAATTATAGAGTGAAATTCGGTCCTATTCAATTATATGATTTCACCTCATTTCAAATATAATATATAATACTAGGGGCTTGTGTTGGTTCGAGAAGGATACGAAAAACGTAGCACCCACGTATTATAGGTCCTATATATCTAATTATATTCTATCTAAAGAGCTAATTAAATAAGAAAATAATAGATTTTGAATAAACACTACTAAAAAAGCTAATCTTTTTTATATTTACTTAATTCTTTTGATATAATAACTATTATATTAAATTTCTTTTTGGAAATAAATACCTTTGTTTATATACTCAAAACTCTTTTTTATAATTTCAAATATAATAATTGAAAAGAAATTTATAAAGTTATAAAAATCCTTTGTTTATTAATTAAAATTCCTAACCTTTTACTAATAAAATCAACTCTTTTTTTTTAAATCTTTTTCTACTCATTTTATTATCTTAATATTAATCTTATTTATATTAATTAGATTAGTGAAAGTTTGATATAGTTTTTCTTTTGTTATTGTATCAATTGGATTAATCGAATTATTGATTTATAAAATTTCAACAATTTCTTTTCTTTTGTAGGATTAGTGTAATACTATGATATCAATTATTAGTCTTTTTTTATTAGTTATATCTAATTTAATAAGTAAGTTATATAACAATTTTGAATTAATATATAAAATTAATAGAATCAAAAGTTTTTATCAAGAATAATGCTAATTATAGAAATAATTGTTGTGTTAATATTGAATTCCTAAATTAATTTGTATAATTCAGATATTAAAATACTATATATAACTTTTTTATATTTCATAAATAATTAATATTATTATATTTATTTATTATAATAATTATATAGTTTATTTAGGATGAGTAATTCTTATTATTTGTAAAAGAGGTATTAGTGAAAATAATAATTTTAAATGAATTCAAATCAAATAATATATAATTAAAATCTTTAGTGGAATTTTCTTTTTACTATTTTGATTTTTTTGATTTTTTTATAATATTATTGATATCAAAAAATCTATAAAAATTTATTATAATTCTATAAATAGATTCTAATATATTATTTATTGAGAAATTATATATCAAGATTTTATATTCTCTTTATTTAATTATTCAATCAATTCTTCATTTAATAACTCGAAATCCTTATAAATCCAAATTGATAATATTAGTTAATTATTGAATTAAATTTTATATTATTATAATGATTTTTAAATCTAAATTGATTTTTGTTTTGATATAAAAAAAGTGTGCACATAGTAGGGTCGTGCACGTAGTAGGGATATCGGTTATCGCAACAATTCCTTTTATTGGTTAGATAGAATGCAGGTAGATAGCTGTGACGTCACAGGATCCTTGTCTCACACCCAATGAACTCACAATAACCTGAATAATTGGTGATGCTAGCCAAGGCGTGCTAACCCATTAATGGCCCCGCTTCAGTCTTGAGCCCTTCAGCGTCTCTAGAACCCGCACTCTCCCTCGCACTGTCCTCTCTACTTCCATTCAACAATCTTCACTCAACCAAACCCATCCGATCAAGCCCACTCGGTATGGCTTCCTTAAATGACAGACTCAAAAGCCGCTCAGAGTTTCATATATTACATAAGGATGCAATAGACGCTGAGCTCGAGGAAGCAGGCTATGACGACTCCAATGCATTCTGGCACAAAGCCCGGTTATTCACGAGAACCATTGCTAGTCGATACGCACAAACTGGGCTTACTCATCCTATAGAGCTGTACGAGTACGACCTCCGCGAGCTATGGTATATGTGCGTACAAGGAGCCAGACTTATAGCTGCAGACCACCCTGCGCAAGACAGATTGGTGAGCCAAGTGCTACATACAAGGGAGATGGGTGTTCTTTCTCGGAAGATTGTGGATTCAAAGGAGAAGAGGGATGATCCAGAGATGGAAATAGCAACTACCTCCGATGGTAACATATGGAGCGATCTTCCTTTCCTCGTGGAAGAAATACGAGCAGCATGGGCTATCTCCACAAGCATCCCTGCCGCCCAGCGCCACAACCTAAGTGCTTTCGTCGCCCGACTCGCCTCTGTTGGAGTTCGTGATCCTGAGTTGTGCCTGGTTGCGATTTGGATCCTGCGTGATACCCTTGAGACCCCGCGGCCGTTGACAAGTGGAGCAGAAGCTACTAGCCACGATTCTGAGAAACGCCTGACTACTATTGCGGACCTTCTACCCGCCGCAATAGTGTGGTTTCAGTACTGCGGCCACAAAATCGAAACCCTCTGCATTCTGAATCAGAATTTCGAATCCGGTCTTTCAGAAACGGGGGAGTTGGCCAAAAACGCACAGATTATGCCCAATTCGGGATTTAGTGCAGCCAGGTGGATATTTTGGAGGGATAGGCTTGAAGAGATCAGTCGTTGTGGGAATGAAGAGGTCGCACCGCTGGCATCGAAAGCATGGAAAACGATGAAGTTCTGGGGTGAAAGAATTGAGTCTATAGATGGCACCAAGCAGGACATGGAGTGGTATTATAAGAGAAAGCAGTGATATAGGGTAGAAGACGATATAAAGGCTCTAGGTCTACTTTAATCGATATACATGGGATATTGAAAGGCGGAATTGGAATTCATGAGAAAAGTTATCTGGGTTGTTCTGAGTGATGGCCCACAAGATATGATGTTGGTCCGAATTACGCGGCGTAAGACTTACTTCTGGCGAGGGAATATTATATTCGGCGAAGATTTTGTAAGGAGAATGTCGTAACCGTTTCTCAGTCTCCTTCTCTATCTCTTGCGCAATTGCATCGTACACTTCTCTGCGATTTCTTTTCTCTCCTCGATTACTTTCCTGATCACTGGGCGGATCATCTTCCTGCTCGCTATCGTCAATTTCTTCCACTATATCCTGGGTTCAATCTCGATGTGCTTGATGTTCTTGCTGTTGCCCCTTACCTTCATCTACTACCCAACATCGTACGTTTCGATCATCAAACCATAACCGTGATTGTAATCTCGCTACCCGGAATAAATCTTTATCTGTAACCTGTTTTTCTTATACTCGTTATTGCTATGATGCTTTCTAATTCTGTGATTCTGGGTCTTGTATTCACAATGCTGACATTGTTATCCATTAACAATGGGATTGATGGTCTATGAAGTAGACCCATCTACAAGTAGTATGATAGTCCTATGATCGTATATCTATATGTAATCCTCAATAAACCGATTAACGACTTTCGGTATTTCAATGCAGATTTGTGCCTATCAGCTAAATAGCCGGGAATTGCTGCTACTCCAATGTATATTTGTACTATAATGTGGTTTATCACCGGGTCGCCAATATCACCAGGTCGCCACTTTTTATACTATTTAATTACTTTAAATCTATATTATTCAATAACAATTGAATCAATTAATTGAAATTATTAAGAATCTAATAATCTAGAATCTATTCTATCATTTTGATAAGTTCTTGTATTATATTCTGTCTTTCTGTATTTACTATAATGTCGAATAGAAAATGCTTTTTTATTAGAATCCCTTTCTTTTTGATATTTATTATATTGAATTTGAATATCAATTTTTTATTAAGATAATATATCAAGAGCCTTTTGTTTAATAAATATATCTCCTGGATATAATTGAGTTTTTTTTGTGTATTAATATTTACTTAATATTTTATTTATTATTTAAAATATATAATTCTTTGTATTCAAAAGTATATTTTTATAAACTAATCTCTTTATATTTTTAATTAAAATTAATATAGTTTCGAATATAAGTATAAAAGAGTTTGATTAATAATAAATTATTTAAGATTTAATTAATATTAATTAAAAAAAAGCTTCAATTAAATTATAAGGAGTTTAAGAGATTTATTAATTTAGATTAAAAGAGAAAGGGGTAAATATATAAATTCGAATATTTAATTTTGAGAGAATAGTATTGAGATTAAATAGAATTGAATCTATTTTTCAAAATCTAGATTTTATATTTTGAATTGTAATTGATTTTTTATATATAATTTTGAAAGTTATAAAGAATTTAATTTTTGAAATATGATTGATATATATCTTAATAAATTCATTAATTTGATTATTATATGAATATTTCAGATTATTAAAATAGCTAATATTAAATAACTGAATTAAATGATTCGAATATACTAGTAAATATAAATATATAATATTGTTTTTTTAATAATATATTTAAAAAATTATTAATTCATAGTTTTTATATTCATTTAATATTAATATTTGATATTTGCTTTTTCTTTGATTTTTAGTATACTTATTGAAGTGTTTTAATTATTTTAAATTTGTTTTATTATTTATTTATTTATTAATTGTAGGTTTAATAATTCATTCTATAAAAAAATTGATTTTGATATATTAATTGAAAAAATAAATCTATCCTTGAATTATTAAAAATAAGGGAATAATTTTATTCTCCTTATTTTCATATATTATTATTATAGCTTATTTTCGATTACTTAATTATATTAATTTATTTCTATTATATTTTTCAATATTGATAATAATTATTGCTATATTTATAATTCCTATTATTAAATTTGTTTTATTAAAATTATAAAAATTATAGTTTTGAATATTATATTTTGCTCATATATTCAATATTAATTGAAATTAGTTTTCAATAAGCTTAGGATCTTTATAAAGAGTTTTTTGAAAATTATAAATATAATTAAAATACATTTTTAATTCGATTTGATATTTTATAAATCAATATGCCTAGAGTTTTTTAATATATTTCGTATTTTTTAATTCAAAAATATAATTTGTTATATCTTTTATATTTTTGATTTTAGATGGAAATCCTTTTTGATTTATATTAAGTATATATTCAATAATTACTTTTTCTTTCAATTCTGTAATTTTATAATAATTTGCTTAAATCTTTATATACGAAGTTAAACTATTCATTTTGTAGCTAATCATTATACAAAATATATTATATAGTTGAATAATCTTCTAAATACTTATTTTTATATTTTTTTGAAGAGCTTTAATAGTTAAGAATAAATATGCTTCTTTATTTATAAATTCCATAATAAATGATTAATAAAATGCGTGTTGAATATAAAGAGTATAAATTGAGGTGAAAGTGGCCTACTCGGTGATAAATTATGTTACTTGATATTTGTTTCAGTAATTGATTTTTATGTACACAATAGCTTAGAATCAATGTGGAAATCAAGCTATTATGTAAATCAACTATTTCGAGGTTATTTGAATTACTGAATTAAAATAAGATATACTTTTTTTATATCAAATCTGGGACTAGTGAGTTTAGATTTAACTATTTATTAATAAATTCCGGAAACTAAGATGTAATTATATAATAATATAAGTGATTATAAAAAGAAAATAACAGGGGTTTTTCTTTAGCTCAATATCTCTTTTTTCTGATTGAATAATCAAATCAACAAAGGAACTATAGTTTTAGGGATTTCATCTGAGTATATCTGGTGGGTTGTCATAATTCTTGCTTTATATTCTTAGCTTGGTTTATTGTCTTGACTATACCATGAATTGTAGTGAGGGAGAAATAATAGTGAATCACCATATATCTCATTCTCAAAGTTATTTATAGAAATGAAAGATAAATATATAGAATACTCCTATTCAAATAAAGAATTGTTTCTTTTTATATACCCAAAAAAACCAAAAGAATTTAGTAGAGCTTTTTTTATTACTTTTTTAGTTTTATAGAATATTATACTTGAATTAACCCTTGTGTTCAATATAAAAAAGTATTATAAATCTTCTTTCAAAAATAATTTTTTATTTATTTTAAAGAATATCTTATTTTCACTTAATATCCATTAAATCAAATTTCTCTTTATTCGTAATATTAGTAATTATATCTTAAAATATATAATAATATTACAAATATTTAGAGATTTTGCTTTTTGTATTTTGGAATGTATAATATTATTGTAATAGATTGAGATCCCTATATATATTATATTATTAAAAATAATACTAAATGATTTCGAGAGAGTAAATAAATAATAATAATATTTATCAATAAATATTATTAAATATCTATTAAGGTTCTAAAATTATATTTTATTTATATCAAATTACTTAATCGAAAATATTACAAAGATATAATATTATTTGAGATGATATTTTTTATTACATTTATAAAATAATATTAAATTGTAATTAATAAATATTAAAAAGACTTTCCATTATTTTGTAGATTAGAATTTATTATTCTTGATGTTTGAATTAGAATTATTATTATCAAAATAATTAATGTTACTAATATTCCCCTATTATCATTATTTTTATTCTCATTTATCTTAAATATATTTATTCTTATCATCTTCCCTTATTTCTTTTATTATCATCTTTTTATACTATCGCTTTTTAATAAATTTTCATTAAAATCTTAATAATGAAACAAAGAATTATATTCAAATTCTAAAATGGCTTTTTGAAATTAGTATTAAATTCCAAATCGATTAATAAATAATTGAGCTTTTACTTCTTTTAATATTTTACCTTAAATTAAGATTAGTGTTTAATTTATTAGATAATATACTTTATTATTAATATCTTTTTTATTAATAATATTATAAAATTCATATTTATAGTTAGTATTCAAAACTTATATAATATAATTAAAATCTTGAAAGATATTACTTATACTTGATTCAAAGCAATATTATATAGAAAAATAATAAAGTTTGATATTATTCTTATTACTATAATTTATATTAATAGTTTCAATAATATTTCAATTAATTTGAATAGATTTACTATTATTATATTTAATTAAATCATTTTATTACCTTGTATAAGATTATAAAAAACTATATAATTAGATTAAAATAGATAATTCTAAAAATATATTAATTTTAAATGTTTTTATTTAATTTATTATATATAATATATATTTAAATTGTTTAAAAGATTATCTATTGTTTATTAGAGTTTATGTTATATAATTAAAAGAAAAGGTTATTTATATTAATCTTCTTATTTCTATTTCGATATATTAATAGTATTAATTGTAGGGTTATTAATTTTAATAGATTCTAATGCTGTTAATAAACCCTTCTCTATTATAAAACCAATGATAGAGTTTATTAAATAATCAAAAGCTTTTATAGCTTCTTAAGAGTATTAAGATTATTATTTTTAGTTATAATTAAAAACACTATATTTTATATTTTATTAAAATAATTATATTTTCAAAAATAGGTTTAAGATTCTCAAAATAGGAATTAATATTGGAATTATAATTATTATATCCTAATATAAATCAATTTATATTCATATTTTATATAAATAAAAATATATTATAGTAAAATGTTTAGAGTTTATTATTATACTTATATTACCTTTATCTATAAATTCTAAAATCTGAAAACTAAGAATATTATTTTTGCTTTATTTTTAATAAATATAATAATATTTTTAAAGTTTAAATATTTAATATCTTTTAAATAATTGAGATTAATCTTTATATTTAACTTATAAGTTTTAATTTGAATTTTGTATTTTATTAACTTTT